TGCAGAGTCTTACCTATTTGAATTTTTCTGGCTGTCGTATCACTGATGCTGGTGCTGCATCTCTTTTTGAGGCAGTAAAAGTCAACAAGACTATGATGGAGTTGAGTTTGCCCTAACTAATCAAAGTTAGCAAGACTCTTTCAATCCTATCGCTGACGCCGTTGCTACATCCATTGCGGAGGCAACCAATGTCAACAAGACGCTGACCAATTTGAATTTACTGGCAATAAAATAACTAATGCCCGTGCTACATCTATTGCTGAGGTAGTGAAAGTAAACAAGACCTTGACCAATTTGGATTTGTCTTACAATCAAATTAGTGATACAGGTACGACATTTATCGCCGAGGCAATCAAAGGCAACACGTCTCTGACCAATTTGAGTTTGCCTAACAATTATATCAGAGATGCCGGTGCTACATCTATTACTGAGGCAATTAAAGTCAACAAGATTCTGACCAATTTGAATTTGTCTTACAATTGTATGACTGAGCCGGTGCTACATCCATTGCTGAGGCAATCAAAGTCAACAAGAGTCTGACCAATATGAGTTCGTCTGGCAATCGTATCATTGATGACGGTACTACATCTTATGTGAGGCAATCATACAGTCAAAGTCAAGAATACTCGGACCATTTTTAATTTGTCGGGCCATGAAATAATTTTTGGGGGTTGACACGATTAAAGTAAACTTGACTGACTAATGTGAATTTGTCTGGGAATGAATTAGTGATACTAGCTACATCTATCGGCTAAGACAACCAAAGGCAACAAGACTGACCAATTTGAATTTGTCTCGTAATCGTATTGGTGATGCCGGTGCTACATAATTTTCAACTATGTAAGGATAAGGGTAGCTAAGGCCCTGTTTACAAGCAAGGAGGGTAACCCTTGTGCTAGGGTTACCCTAGCAGGCGGGTCAAAGATAGCCCGGGTTTACAAGCAAAATTTCACAGGTAGGGTTAACCTACCACCCGGGACAACTTACCTATGCTTGGTAACCGCAGGCATTGTTATCAATGTTCAAAGGGTCTGGAAACAAGTAAAAAGTTGTCCCGGGTAGGCGAGTTATCACCACCAGAGCGTTTACAAGGCAGCTAGGGTTACCCTTGCGCTAGGGTAACCCTAGCGCTCAGCTAGGGTAACCCTAGCTGCCTTGTAAACACGTCGATGAAAATAAGAAGAAATGTGGGAGCGTTAGGGTAACCCTCCTGCCATGGTAACCCTAGCACTAGGGTTACCCTACCTGCTTGTAAACAGGGCCTTAAAAAGTATTCCAAGCAAACTTTGAAACATTTTTATTAGTATCTGTCACGATCTGACAGCTGTACATTTTTTGTCCGCTAAACCAGCACTTTTTTTTTTCTTAAAAGAAAAAAAAATGCTGGTTTAGCAGACAAGTTCGAGTTAAATGAGTATCACGATGACTTTTCATATTCTCTGATTTTACGGGAAGTATTATTCTCTTTCAACGGCGATTAATCTCAAACGGCATCGCAATCACCTCAGCTCCTCGAAATATTGTAAAATACATTTTTTCCGAGCGAAAATTGCTTCAGTGCTCAAAGGCCTATTATTAACATCTCCGATCGTCAAAAATGGCATAAATTGAGTTACTCGTCTTTCCTCAAAACTCTTGTTTGAGAAACTTTTTTTGCTTCGCATATTTATGTCGATCCTTTGTGGGAGAAATCAGACACGTAATTTTTCTTTCTTGACAGTTTTTTTACACTGAAATTATTTTTCAGTTTGACACCTACTTTTCCCTGGCCGCCATGACGGTAAAAATGCAGCTTTTAATTTCGGCTCAGTGCAAATTCAATGTTGCACATGATATTTTTCTTTAGACTAACTAATATAGGGTAGAAGAGTATGGAGATATAAAGAGATTTTGTGGTTTCGGCGAACTTTTAGTACAGCCGGTCAACATGATATGCACATTTTTGAAAATTCCTCTCAACTATGCACAAAAAGCGAGCTCAATTATCTACGAAATTTACGTCTACAACGTAGACACTTGAGTTGAGCTCTTTGAAGCTTTTTCATACTTGATGATACCATAAAACACTGATTTCGAAGAGAAAAATCTCCACACCAAACTAGTAAAACACTGCTGTCGAAAGAAAGAGAAGAAATCACCAAAGTTAAGATAGATTTAAAAAAATGAGTAAATCCAAGATAGGTCTTATTGAATAAGGAATATTTTGGAAAAAATATGTTCATCCAAAATATTCCTCTTTTGGTGCTTCGCAACCCTTGAGGTAAATTTAAGTTTGCGAGTCGATAACAAGTTGTAACTAGGGATCTGCGCGTAGATTTCGTGCGAACTGAAATTTAATTTTGTCTGATTTTGTAGATAGGGTGGATCACGGAAACACTTTAAAATGTGGGATTTGTATGATAGTTAAAATGATGTTTCTCCGAATCATAGCGGTAACTTCTTTGTGAAACCAGACGTTTTTCGAAAAATTGCGGCTTATCACAACAGTCGAATAGAATGTCAATCAAAATCAACTCCCACCCGCCAAATGATAAGTGTTTTACTCGTTAGCACTCGATCTTCAAAGAATTGACAAGCCCACGATATTCATAGAAGTTCTTGGAGTAATCTTGAATGCCTTCTTGTTGGGGTGTTTTCTGTAATGATTGGAACCATCTCGACTCAATGACCACCACTGGGCGTCAAGAGCTGAAAGTAGGATTAGGATACTACTTAGTTTTACGTGCAAACTGAAGGGGAAAATTTTATTTTGAAACTATCATAGGTTTTTGTTATTTAAGGCAACCTGGTAAAATATTTTGCGGACGAACTCGTAATTGAATTTCGCATGGTTACTTTGCGGGATACAATATTCTTGAAGGTTAGAACCGATTCCTTTCAGTTCTTCAAGTCTTCAAAAATCGATGAAGATAGCAATCCATCTGGTTTGTTTAGTGTGTTTTCGTGAATATATTATCTGGGGATCTCAGGGGAACAGTTGGGTTCTAAATACTGCAGCCAGATCCTTTGAATAATTTAGTTCGTGTCGCACACTATTCTAGAATTACAGGTTACATTTTCCAAGTGAACATGACTGTTCTCTGAGTAAAATTAAGAAGAGCACTTTAAAAATGAATAACAAGAAATAGTTTCGATTAAAATGACTATTTTTATATCTACCCTGACTCTTGGCGATTTGTTTTCTTCTTTCTCATTACTGAGTGATAAACAAAACAGTAGGTCGCCCAGAGCGAGGAGTCAGCTTTCGGCAGTAGAATTTTCCTAGATGGGTGTGGAGATTTTTCTCTCGTAAATGCCGATTTGTTCCCACAAAGGATCGATTTTAAAAATGCGAAGCAAATAGGGATCCCTCAAACATGATTTTTGTTAAAAACAGGACTTTTGAGCCCTGTAGTGATTTTCACTCGGTATAAAATTATTTTATAATATTTTGGAAAACCATAGTGGTTTCGACTACTTTTGGACTAGGACAGATTCATGGACCAAGTTTGAAAAGTCGATCCTTTGAACCGAAGTACATTGGACCACTTTTAGAGAGACACCTTCCTAAAGTGTCCACGCAATTTGTAGCTTTAAACTCTTACGAATCCGTTGACAAACTTTTACTCAGTTTTTAGAATGAATAGAAATAAATTGTAGTATAGCATTTTCAAGGATTGATATTTCGAGTATTTTTAGGTTTACCTTTTGTTTTATTAAGTCTCACCTTTTTGCGTCTACGTTGTTATTTTGATGAATCTATAGTTTTGATCATTTAGTTTTCGTGTGTGCTTGAACTTGGCTCAGTACTTACCGTGCTAGACATTTTAATCGCTTGTTATGGTTGAGGATAACTAGTTTGCAAGGTGGTCATGTTTGGGTTGGTAAAACTGACCTTGAGTTTTACCCACACTGAATACCCTGTTTTGGAAATTCCCACGGTCAGCTAACCCAAACATGTCTGTGTTTTATACATTAAATGAGAGGGCACTCCTCGCTGAAGTCAGAAGAGAAGAAGAGAAATAGCAGTGGTAGTAGAAGGTAGTAGCAACAATAAAAGAGAAGAAAATAAAAGAAGAAAAGTATAGAGTCTTGGAACCTTTCGTTAATTCGCCAAGCGAGTGATAAGAGCCCACAACAAAATCAACTCTTTCTCGGTGAAGCCTCTTTTGAGTTATAAACAGAAATGATATTTCAAAGCGAGAAACTAAATAATTTATTTGACATGACCCTGGCTTTCTACACGTTTGTAAATTGGATGGGATCTTTCCAGTTGTAGTGAAATAAGTGAGAACATGGCCCCGGTAAATATCAGGTAATAGTTAAAGAGGAGACTCAGAAATATTTTCTCTGCAGTCAGCAGACACAGCAAGTTATCATAAATGTGTTCTAGTCATTCAGTGCACGATAGCGTACTGTGCATTTCTTTCAGATTTTTTCTCATTTGCCGTTAATTCGTTTGTGATCGATTTGTACATCAATAAGATCGCGTGTTATGAATAAAATTTTAAACTTTATTTAGATCTTTTCATTTACCGAAATTTCCCGTCGATGCATGCTCAATTTTTTTCCCACGAGCCATGACATACAAAGCCTTAGAAAAGGTTTGTTAAGGCCTTGTATGGGGCAATGGGAGGTACGTACAGTGCACGCATTTTCAGTCCTGTCATGGCGTAAGTAAGTAAGTAAGTAAGTAAGGACTTAATTTATAGAGGGGGACACGTAACAGCTGAAAAGCTGACAAACCTGTGGCCCTCTAACTAGATTATACAGCATTACAAAAAACTGATAAATAAATAAATATATAAATAATTACAAAATTATTAGAAATAGCAGGATATATTAAAAATATTCAGAAAGATAAAATTGATTTATAAAAAATTAAAATTAGATAATGTGCTATTGCTTAATATTGTTTCAAAGTTGTCCAGGTTTTTATATGAGCTTATAAAGTGCTTTTTCACAGCTGTTTTGAATAATTTTATACTAGGCTTATTTTTGATATCATGGAGAAGGCTGTTCCATAACTTAACTGCGTCAACACTGAATGCCTTGCCACCATCGTTATTTCTTAGGTATTTGGGACACACTAAATTTAAATTGCTATGTCTAGTAGACCTATTGTGTACAGAACTGT